TGCCGGGGTGTGTGTGTGGGGGGGTCCCAGGGCCTCGCCCCTGCCGGGGTGTGTGTGTGTGGGGGGGGTCCCAGGGCCTCGCCCCTGCAGGGGTGTGTGTGTGGGGGTCCCAGGGTCTCGCCCCTGCAGGGTGTGTGTGTGTGGGGGTCCCAGGGCTTCGCTCCTGCCGGGGTGTGTGTGTGTGGGGGTCCCAGGGCCTCGCCCCTGCCGGGGTGTGTGGGGGGGGGTCCCAGGGCCTCGCCCCTGCAGGGGTGTGTGTGGGGGGGTCCCAGGGCCTCGCCCCTGCAGGGGTGTGTGTGGGGGGGTCCCAGGGTCTCGCCCCTGCAGGGGTGTGTGGGGGGGGTCCCAGGGTCTCGCCCCTGCAGGGGTGTGTGTGTGGGGGTCCCAGGGCCTCGCCCCTGCAGGGGTGTGTGTGGGGGGGTCCCAGGGCCTCACCCCTGCCTGTGTGTGGGGGGGGTCCCAGGGCCTCGCCCCTGCCGGGGTGTGTGTGTGTGTGTGTGTGCTTGCAGGGCCTCGCCCCTGCCGGGGTGTGTGTGGAGTCCCAGGACCTCGCCCCTGCCGGGGTATGTGTGTATGTGGGGTCTCAGGGCCAAGCCCCTGCCGGGGTGTGTGTAGGGGGGGGGTTCCCAGGGCCTGGCCCATGCCTGGGTGTGTGTGTGGGGGGGATCCCAGGGCCTGGCCCATGCGGGGGGGGGGGGCGGGGTCCCGTCTTTGCATAGTCAGACAGGAGGGTCAGTGGTCCCAGCACTGGGAAGCTGCGGTCAGCTCGGCGAGGGCGCCCCTGCCCTCCACGCTCACCCCCGGCGCGCGGAGCGACCCCATCTGGCAGCTCCAGGGTGGTGGCTGGCGCTCGGCCGGGCCGGTGTTGCCCCTCATCCCCTCTCCCCGGGGTCCCGAGGCCTCCCTGGCGGCGCGGGGCCAGCAGGCGGCGCTGTGCGCCTGCATCTCAGCATCCGTCCGTCCCTTTCTTCTGCCCGGACCCGTAGTTGACCCCCAGTTGTGGCTCACCTGCCCTCCCCAGCCACTTCCCGCCGAGCTGACCGGTGGCCTCTCAGCCGCCACAGGTTCTCAGGCCGACCTCCCCGGCCACTGCCGCCCAGCGCAGCTCCTCAGCCGGCTAGCACATCCTTCCAGCATCTTACCCCAAGCCCCACGCCCCGCACCTGGCCGGACCCCTTCCTCCCACCACTCCATCTCCACCAGGAGGTCCCACAGCTGGGCCTTGCTCTACCACCTCTCCACTCAACCCAGATACAGCTCTATTTCCTGCCAAGAAAAGCTAGATGTGACCCAGCCTCCTCCAGCTCCATGGTTCAGCAGCCCTGACCACGTTACCTCTGACAGCAACATGCCTTTGATACCATGCCCAGGACAGACATGGTACCAGCTCAGCAGAATTTCCCAGTCCTTCTCACCAATCCCTCTCTCCTGGACATCATTTCCCCACACAGCCCAGCCCAGCTCATTTCCCACACTGGGAGGGGCCCTGGGGGGTAACGGTGGAGCCAGAAGCCGCAAGCACGCTCCGTTGAGGTCTAATGCCCAGAGCTGGTGCTGATCCCTTCCTTTCTCTCCAGGAGCTGGTGAGCAGACTGCTGCACCTGCACTTCAGGGACAGCAAGACCAGAGGTGCGGGGTGCCTGCTGGAGGGTGGGGAAGGGGTGGGGTGCAGGGAACTGCCCCTTACCCTGTTCTTCCTCCTGGCAGTCAGCGGGGATGCCCTGCAGCTCATGGCAGAGCTGCTGAGGATCTTTGTCACAGGTGAGTTGAGGGTCCTTTGGCACTAGAACACCCAAGATGTCTTGTTTTCTCACTGGAAAAGCTAACTGTTTCCCCTAGTTCCCCAAAGAGCTGTTAACTGGGCCGTGACCTGGGTCTTATGAGGGCTGGCAGTGGGTACAGTCGGGCTTCTCCCACCCTGCTTCCGGCGTCATGGCAGAAGCCGCTGTCCGCGGGATCCGGCAGGCCCAGGCGGAGGACGCCGCCCTTGTCGATGTGGACCAGCTGGAGAAGGTCCTCCCACAGCTGGTATGTGGGGTAGGGAGGGCAGCACGGTACCCTAGGCCGGCGCCCAGCCGCCCCTCACACCCTTCTCCCCAGCCCCAGCCGCCCCTCACACCCTTCTCCCCAGCCCCAGCCGCCCCTCACACCCTTCTCCCCAGCCCCAGCCGCCCCTCACACCCTTCTCCCCAGCTCCAGCCGCCCCTCACACCCTTCTCCCCAGCCCCAGCCGCCCCCTCACACCCTTCTCCCCAGCCCCAGCCGCTCCCTCACACCCTTCTCCACAGCTCCTGGACTTCTAGCGGCTGCCTCCGAGCTACGTGGCCTGAGGGGCGTGACGCACACTGCACCTGAGTGTGGAGCTTCCCGGCCTCAGATGCTGCCAGGACCCAGCAACTACCAACCTCCTGGTGTCCTCTGCTTGCCGCTCACTATCTTCTTGGGGTCTTGTGAGGGAATGGAGGCCTTGTCTGCCTCTGGCCACCGCTAGCTCAGGTGGCCACAGTGTTTTATAAATAAACCAGCTGATGGCAGCACTGCTTTCTTGCCACCTAATATCAAAGCTGATGTGTAGCCTGCCTTTTTACTACCTGATCTGCCCCTCAGAGGGTAGCACCCTGAGCTACAAACTGTTCTTACAGCCAGGTGCAGGTGGCTCACGCCTGTAATCCTAGCTACTCGGGAGGCTGAGAATCTGAGGCTCAGAGTTCAAAGCCAGCCCAGGCAGGAAAGTTCTTAAGACTTATCTCCAATTAACCACCAGAAAACTGAAGTGCTGCCATGGCTCAAGTGATAGAAAACTAGCCTTGAACAAAAATGCTCAGGGACAGCGCCCAGGCCCAGAGTTCAAGCAGGCCCCACAACTGAAAAAAAAAAAAATTGTTCTTACAGAACATGAGTAACTCCCGGTCGCTCCCAGGCTGAGCCTGAGTGCCTGCGCCCTTCCCATCATCCATCTCAGTGGGGCAAGGGCAGACGTCTCCAAAAGGAAGGGGAATAGCACATGTGTACAGGCTGCCTGCAAGCCTTCCCACACGTGGCCCGTGGCTCATGGCCACGGCAGCTGCCACTGACGGGGGGAGTGGGGTCTGTAGGGCCCACTGGTGGAGGGAGGAGCAGGTCAGAGACCCAATAACCAAATGTCCAGGCCTGAGCCTCAGGAGGCCCCGAGGCCATGTTACAGTGAAGGGCCTCCCATCCGCCCCAGGCTGCCTAAGCACAGGCTACCTCCAAGGCTGTCCAGGCCTGGCGGGCGCTGCACGGGCCCCAGCAAGCCAGTCTTTAGAGCCCCCTGCCTCCCGGACCTATACTGTCCCATAGGACGGGATGACTTGGGCCTCCCTAGGGAGCTGCTTGGCTCTCACAGACTAGGGTGGGTGTGCATGTCCGGCCAGGAGGGCAGAAGTGACAACACTACATCCCTCGGGCTCAGGCTGACCTGGGGGAACTTCAGAGGCAGCAGCCAGAGGACCGAGTCCCACTGGTCCAGGGTAGGCAAAGCCAGTGCCCAGATGGTTGTCCTAAGCATTCTGGTGGATTTCTAGGTTTTTTTCTTTCTGCCAGTCCTGGAGTTGAACTCGGGGGCTTGGGTGCTGCTTTTGGGCCTCTGTGCTCAAGGCTAGTGCCCTACCACTTGAGCCACAGCGCCACTTCCTGCCTTTTCTGAATAGTTTATTGGAGATAAGTCTCACAGACTTTCCTGCCCAGGCTGGCTTTGAACTGAAATCCTCAGATCTCAGTCTCCTGAGATTATAGGTATGAGCCACTGGTGCCTGGCTAAGGGTTTCTGGATTTTTTTAAATTTATTTTTTGCCAGTCCTGGGGTTTGAACTCAGGGCTTGGGCACTGTCCTGAGCTTCTTTTGCTCAAGACTGTGTCCCTTGAGCTACAGAGCCACTTTTATGTATGTGGTGCTGAGGAACTGAACTTAGGGCTTCGTGCAAGCTAGGCAAGCACTCTACTTATTGCTAAGCCACATTCCCAGCCTAGGGTTTCTGGATTCTTAAGCACTGGACTAGGTAGAAGTCAAACCTACAGAGGGACTGGCTGGTAGGGACACGGGGCTTCAGCCAGCTGGCATTGGAGCTGGCTCAGAATGCAGCCACTGGGCTAGAGCGGCACTGTGCCTGGGAAGCCTTCCTAAGGGTGACAAACGAGAGAGCCAGGAGGCTCAGGGCTCTGGCCTGCCCAGGCTTCTTGGGTGGGGATCCCGAGTCCTTGTTCATGGGAACACAGAACCCAGAGCCTGTCTGAGCGGCAGTGGAGAGTTGGGTAGGCGGTGGGTGGTCATCTCTGCAGAAACGACAATGGTCAGTGGGTAGGCTGAGAGAAGCGCGTCTTTATTCCTGCTCGGGTGGGTGAGTGGAGTCCTGTGGCCAGTGATGGGCACCTTGCCGGCAGCCTGCGCTCACCTCTTGCTGGCTGCAGCGTAAACACACCAGAATGGCCACAGGGCCCTGGGCTCCTGCCTGGCCACCCTGCCCACCCAGCCACTCCTGACAGGCACCTGGTAGCTTCAGCCACTTGGGCACTTTGCCCAGGCTCCTTCTCACCGGCTGGGCTGTTCCTGGGGTGGGCTCTGGGGGGGGGAGTGCCCCCTCCTCAGCAGGTGGCTCTGACTCCAGGGGTGCAGGCTCGGGGGCTGGCAGTGGGGGTGGGGTCCCAGAAGCCCTGGGCATGTACCTGGGGGTGAGAAGCCACAGCTAGGACGGTGGCGCCGGCTCAGAGGCGGCCGCGGCCGCGGCACTCACCTAGCCACCAGCACGTCCGCAGCAGACGGGGGGACAGTGTGTTCCAGGAGTCCCGGTTCCAGGTAGAAAGCTTCAGAGGACAGAACCCCCAGGCAGATGAGGTCCCCACCTTCATTCACTCCGGGAGGGGGTGTATGCAGCAGGTACCCCGGGTTCTAGGGCTGCAGGTCTCCCAAACCCACAGGGGGGCCCAGGACTGAACACCCTCTAGGGTGTCTTGGTTTGGGTGCTGCATGGTCTGGAGTTGGGATGGGGCTGGCTGGCTGAGGTCAACAGAGCAGGGCCATACTCACCTGTTGGTTCTTCAGCTCCGAAGTGTACAAGGGCAGCAGGGAAGAGGTTTGCCTGGAGGGGAGGCAGGGGTTCAGGGCAGGCAGACCATCCAGCAGGAGGATCTCCTCCCCCCCTCCCCTCACTGCCCAAACACTAGTGAGGAGTTCTGCCTCTTATCTGAACTTTGGCATTTCTCTTTACCTACCTCCTTCCGCCTGGTGGTGGGGCTTTCCCTTTTCTTTTTGCTGGTCCCAGGGCTTAAGCTCAGTGCCTGGGCAAGAGCCTTGTTTTTGTATTCAAGGCTAGCACTCTACTACTTGAGCAAGTGCTCCACTTCCAGCCTTTTGATAGTTAATTGGAGCCAGGAGCTTCACAGACTTTGCTACCCAGGCTGGCTTCGAACCGTGATCCTCAGATCTCAGCCTCCTGAGTAGCTAGGATTACAGGAATGAGCCACTGGCACCCAGCCCAGAGTCAACTTTCTAACCATTAGTTCAAAGCTCTTGGTGCACTTGGGCTGTGAGTAAGCTTCTAACTAGGAGCCATCCTGTTCCACAGCTGAAGAGAGGCACACTATGTATGCTTGAACTTGATTGTGATCTCGTGACTAGGGGACATCCTACCCTACAGGTCAGAGACGGATGGGCGAGGGGTCTGGGGTCAGGACGTCAGCCTGTGATGCACTTCTGCACTTCTGACCCTCCACTCCCAGATCATGGCGGGGGGGGGGGGAAAGGGTCCTTCCCTCAGGGTGAGCAAGTACCCAGACCCACAGGGCTCGAGTCAAAGCCATCACTTGTGGGCCAGCACCCGTCAGTCATAAGCTCCTCCCATCCCGCCAAAACAGCCCAGCTGAGAGCCGATCAGAGCTTCCGGAGCCACACCATCCGGAGGGGCTGCGGACACAGGGCTTCTGTTCCGGGCTGGCTGCTCTGGCTGGGGCAGGAAAGTGGACTGGGTGCTTCCTCACACACTCGGCACGTGTCTCGAGACCTCCCTGACAGACTACTGGACAGCGGGGTGCTGCCTCAGGGCTGCAACAGCGCCCCGTGGGGGCTGGGGCTACTTCGTGGCCAAAGGCCAACCAGAAAGCAAGCCAGCAAGGGCCGGCCAGCACCCTCCCAGGGAAGGGGCTGCGGCGGCCCGCCAGGGCGCTCTGGCCCACTCTTCCCGTGCCGCTCCAGGCTGCTCAGAGTGCCACAGGCTTGCTGGGGTGGGCCGTGTGGGTGGGGTTGGGGGATGTTAAAAGATTAATAAGAGCAAGCTTCAAAGGCCAGGCCTAAGAACGTCGAAACCTCAGCCCAGCCGGCAGCTGAGCGACACAAACAAGGGCGGTGAGTGCTTTGAAACCCAATTGTGAGGCCGGCGATCAAAGCCTGTGAGAGGAGCCCGTGGGGTGGGCGGGGGGATGCCCCCGTGCCCCTGGCGAGGGCCGGAAGGAAGCCGGGGAGCCAGGCAGGGGCATGGGGAGGACAGAGACCACGCCATGGAGCCTCCCTGCCTCCCCCAAGTCTGCCGGGCCAAGGCAGACGCACCCACCGCAGGGAGCCCAGCGGGGCTCAGGCATTCCTGGGACCCCCTCGTGGGGCACTGCCTGCAGGCTCCCATCTGCTCCCTGACAAGCTGCCCCCAAGCCGGCCCCCTGCCCGGCAGCACGGGGAGGCACTGAAGGCGCAAGGAGGGGAGAGCACCACAGCTGGCCGAGCACCATGCTCAGCTGTCCCTGCCCTCAAAAGGAACAGAGGGGTGGGGACAGCGGGCTGGCTGGCATGAAGGCTGGTCTGTTTGGGGGATGCTGAACCTCTGTAAGGACCCCAAATGAGCCTTTACTAGTCCTGCACTCCTTATAATCTGAGAACCCTCGGCTGGGTCCCCTGGGGCCAGTGACTGAGTGGCCCCTCCCCACCTCAGATGCCGCCGGGTCAGCCCTGCCTGAGTTGCTCCGTCCCTTTGCTGGGAAGGGAGCAGGCATCCAGAGCAAGGGCTAAGGAGCCTGCCCTCCAGCTGCGGGACTCCCTGACTCCTTGTGGGCTAATTCCCAGCCCTGGAGCTTCTTAACTAATCCAGGCTAGGAACTGTACAAGAGCCACAGTCTGGGGCCCACCTCCCCCTCTCCTCCGCCTCTCCACAGGGCCAGCCTAGGGGGCTCCTCCTGTGCCCACCTGAGGTGCCCACCTCAAGCCTTAATCCATTAGCTTGGGTCTCCAGGGTCCCAATTGAAGAGGGGATACGTGGACGGCAGATTATCCTGACCAACAGAAGACTCCACTCCCTGTTGACTCAACAGTCCAAGAAGGCTGCTCTGCTCAGGCCTGGGGCTGAGCCCGGGCCAGGACTCCAAACCCTGGCCCGGTCCTCCCTGCCCTCTTCCAGCACAGACAAGCACCGACACTGTTAGGAACTTTAAGCCTTGTAGAGTCAGAGGGGAAGGACAAGGAGGGGACAACATACAGGTGGGCAACAGCTGGCCAGAAAACAGAGGGCAGGAGACACAAGACCTTGCCAGGCTTTGGTGTTTCCTAGGCAGGCTGGAAGGGACCCAGAGTTTAGGGCTGACCCTACCTGGCTTCCAGCCCTGCCTTACACACCACACACTCCCTCTTCACCAGCAGAGCTTGCCTTGGGGGTCTGTAGAGGAGGCAGTCAAGGGCCCAGGGAGGTGTGAAGAGGAGGTGGAGCCTATGTCCCCACACTCCCTGCTGGGCTGGTGGGGTCCCCCTGTATACACGCAGGCCTCACAGCACTTCTCAGCCTAGGACCTGACGGGACACTAGCATTAGCAGCAGAGCCCGGCTGGGAACATGGAAGCCAAGCTTGCTCCTGCGCTGGTGGCTGCTCTCCAGTCAGGACAGCAGCAGGCAGGGACACCACCTGAGAGAGGACAGGAGGTGGCTGCCGGTGGCAGGGGGCAGCGTGTCGCTAGCAATCAGGCTGGGGTAGGAAGTTCCCCAAGGGCCTCCGGACTCGGCAGGAGGGGGACCTTCCAAATTCAATGTTTATCAAGAGGCTGGCCAGAGTGGAGCGGTGGAGTTGGAGCAGAGACGCCCGGACGGGAGGGGAGGGGCGGGTGGCTCCCTCCCTCCCCAGGCTCCTCCCCGCAGGCCTGGCTGGGCATCCGGCCTGCCCTGCGCTCCTCAATAGGTGGCAGCTCCGGGCTCCCATGGCCCCCCACCTCTGCGGAGCCCTTCAGGCGCCTCTGTTATTAATTAAAATATCTGAAGAGACTTTGAAAAGGAAACCATTAGCCAGAGGGGCTAGGGAGGCCCCACTGCTCTCCCAGGGGGCCAAAGGACAGGACATTCATTCCTCCTGGCTCTGTGAGCAGCCAGCAGGGCATGAGATCAAGCGGCCTGAGCAGGCGTGCTCAGGACCTCCAGAGGCCCAGTGGCAGGGAATGGGGCCAGCCAAGGCACTGCCATTAAGAGACCAGCTGGGGCCGGGGGAGGCCAGGCTCAGGAGGAGGGACGGACCCAGGCCAGCGGCCCCCACTCTTCCTTCTGCAGCTCTCCACCGCCCTGCCACCTGGCCGGCAGGGCCCCTTCCTCACTCCTGACAGCCCAGGGCTCAGGACCTGGGGCTGCTCGCTCAGGTCGGCAGGCCAAGCAGTTGGGGCAGGCCCACCCCGCCCTGGGGCCAGGCAGGAAGCGGAGGAGGTTGGAAGCCCGTCAGGAACAACTTCAGAGGCGCTCTGCGCCTCTGAATTCACCGGCTCTAAAAGGCTTTATTACCCACAGCAGCTCCGGCCAGACTCCACCCGTCCCCCCCAGCGCCCGCCTGGCACACCCCTCATCCCTCCTACCTGAAAGAGGGTCAGCGTGTGGTCATCCAGGATGGTTTTGGGGGGAGCAATGACTGTGGGGAGAGGAGGCGGGCTGTGTGAGGAAGGCTGTAGGTACCCCTCCACCTCCACTGAGCCTGGGAGGGGGGCCTTTGGAAAAACCTCTGCTGTGGAGGCTCAGAGGGACTGCTCCCCAAAGCAGAATCTCCTCCTCCACCTGTCCCCC